AATAATTTTCTTTTACAATTGACAGAACATTTATAATTCTTATCTCACTAGGAATTGTAGCAAATATTCAAAACGGATTAAATTGTAAATACCGATATTGGTAACCATTGCAATGTATACAATGGATGGACAGATCATATTTGAAATCATATTTTATCTTCGATGCCGAGCTGACAAGGTATTATACTTTTAAGTTTTACACTATAATAATATAGCTTTTATACTATAAACATTTTTTTTCATGCCTGAAGTCATGATAACTTTATTTCCTATGAACCCGATTACTCCTCTTTTTTACTGCTATTTACGCCAGTGATAGTGAAAAGTATGTGCATACTTTCAAACTAAGTATTTATTTTAAAAAATGTTGCAGATACTTAATGGTTAGACATTCTTAAGAAATACTTGTATTTTGTTTTAAGGAAAATGTTGAATTTTTATACTACTTACGAATACCTTTTTGAAGTACATAATATTTTCGATTTTCTATTTAGTTTGTTTTTATTGTTGGAATATTCCGTCGTAAATAATTATTATTATTTTTATATTGATACTTATTGTTATCCATATTAACGAATAACCAGAAGGGAAACTTTAAAAAAATTACATGGGTTCTTATGAGCCACCGAAAACAGTCGGCTGTCATATTGTTTTCGCGGCAGGTAGCCATACTAATAATAATAACCAGATAATAGATAGACCTTAGATAAGTAATTTCAGTTCTTCAATGTTTTTGGTCACGCTGATCCAGAAAAACCATAATAGTAATAGTTTGTAAATCATTATCCTTGAAAAAAAATGTCGGACACTTATCAGTCCCAGCTAGGTTAGGTTCCCTCCTACTTCCTAGTTATTCTGTGTTGTAAAAACTAATACAACTAAGACAGAAATTCAATTTTTGTGTATTGTTTTGTTTATTTACTATTGCTTTAAAAATGTTTTCAACATAATACAATTTATTGATAACAGTGCTTTAATAACTAAATTTTATAACAAATTTCTAAGGAGCTGTTCTTACTTCCAACAAAAAACTAAAGTATCACATTTACGATATTATAAATTATAATGCTCAATACGTTGCCCGATTCGATTCTTACAAACTTAAACTGAACTTTTGATTTGTAAGGGTACTCGATACTAGTGAATAACTAAAATCCGAGTTAAAATTAAAATAAACATATCTTTTTATCATTGTATTTATATTTTTATGAATGACTGACATGTACGGCTATTAAGTAAACGTCTTATTTTTAAATATGACCCATGTTGAAATTTAACGATGATGTGTGTAAATGGTGTGATTTATATATAGAGTGATCGTTTTATAATGAACCACTATATATCTCACATGGTTTGATATGAAATTAAATTTTATAAAGTTATTGAAGTTTCAAGTTAAGGGCAAGAAGAAAGGTGGATTTTAATATTATTTTTATCTGCACACACTCACACATTTCTCAATACACCCCTCCTCCAATCCTAACTTGTAAACTCTTAAAACAAAAAATAATTGTTCAAAACTCGTTATCAACCAGTAAAAATGTTTAGTACATTATTCTTAATTTAAAAGTTAACGAAATGTATTTGTTATTTTAAGTTTCAAAAATTGCTAAAGTATCCAAAAAACTAAGTTAGGTAGGGGTAAAAACAAAAAACAAAAATATGAAAATTGGGATCACTTTATGAAAAATATTAAATTTCTTATTAAACTCTATGAGATATTGAGTGGTTCACGATAAAATGATCACTCTGTACGTATATATAAATTGTTTATGTTGCCTTACAATGTACAATAGTCAAAAGCTGTAAGGTGTCTCCATCATTAATCATTGATGAAACTTAAGACTTCACATTAATTTAGACTACCCGTCAAAATACAAATCATAAATTACCGCACAGTTAAACTATGCACTATTTTCAAAGACATTGTAATAATATTGCATTATTTCTGAACGGATTATCAACCACCGATGAGCGTTGACAAATGTGGCAACCGGATGACCGGTAAACAAACATACAAGTTCTATGGAAAAAAATGAAAATCTATGTTTATTTTACAAACGTTGTTGTTTTATAATTATTAAAGTATTGAAATAAAGTGCTTACACGATAAAGTGTTCTATTTATACATTGTTCAGTGGTTGAAGAAGGTATTTTTACTAAAATTGACGAAATAACAGCACAAATCATTGTTACTGTGTGTCGACTTTTGGTTATTTTCCATACAGCTTATCTAACTACACGCGGACGTCATGAGTTACATTGACATAGTAAATATATTAATATATCTAAACTTATACGTTAATAGAATTGGTATTTATCAGCTAGTCTATCGACTAATTTTTGACTCAAGAAAAGTAGTCGTAATAAAGCAAATACGCAAACAGTAAAACAACAATTAGTATAAGTTATACGTCATGCCAGTATATTTTTTTTGTTGATAAAATTCGTTCATGTTTTTGTAGATAGTTAGAACATAATATCTTTTATACACTTTATATACTTTACGGTTATAATGTAGCTACAATTTAGTCTCTTCAATGTTAAATCATTATGATTTCAGACCATTTGCGCGGACGTTTAAAAATACAATGATTGTTATTCTGAACATAAATAAAAAAGTAAACGTTTTTCTTCCATAGTAATTGTGTTCATTTTTAATAGAAGTATTCATTTTAACGATATTTAAATAGTTCAATAAAGATAACTAGTTTCGAAATAATTGAAAATAAACTTTACTTTATGTTATATACTTACTGAAGTCTTTATTTTGCTATCTTATCATTAAGTTTTAACATTAAAAAAACAATAAAAACTTATTGTCGAACAACGGATTTTTTTTATATCAAATTTTGAATTCGAAGCTTTCAAAATTCCAATACCAATTTTTTTCCGGAATATTACATATTAAAGCAAAATGGTCATAGAACAAAAATATTGATACTGCTAAAAAGAAGAGACCTTTAAATACCGACAATAAAACCTAGTTACATTGTCGTATTTTAGTAAACTTAAATTACTGAACTAATAATTATACATTACAGTTTAACCTTTATATTAAGATTTTGTAAAAAAGATGCCTATAACTCCTTAATAATTAGTGGGTATGACATAACGTACTTTCAAAGCAAGCGGAAAGAGCTATTTCTTAAGGGGCAAAGAATAGGCATTATTTGACTAATAATACATTTAGTAAACATTTTAAATATGCAGACTAGTTTTAAGGTAAAAAAAAAACGTTTCTAGTCATAAATCTTTTTTTCTCTAAAAATTGAATAACACTTCTGTCTTATTTTTGTAAACAATAAAAAAAATAATAATAATAAACTTCTGAACTATTAAATAGATTTTTTTAAAACGATATAGTGCTGTTTATCAAACATCGTGTTTTCAGAGTGGTGGTGAAGTTTAATACATTAATGATAAATATTGCTTAAAAACAAGGCAAAAAAAGATGTTAGTAAATGGTGCTTGTCTATACTGATGCCGAATTACTACAGGTGTCAGAGAGCGAAGTTTTACCATTCGCTTCTATCTCTGCAATTTTAACCAGTTTTCTTAATTTCGGGTAATCATCTGGTTTAGCTTTGAACGCCGAGTCAATCGCGTTTAAGAATGTTAGCTTTAAGTCATCGTTTCCTTGATTTGCATTCCATGCTTCAAAACTTGTTTTCAATAGTGCAGTTTCTGCCAAATTTCCATTAGCTTCATTTTCAATTACCGATTTGAACGTCGATTTGATTGCTAAACTAAAGTATAACTTTTACGGCGAGTTTTCTATGATACAACAGATAAATTTTAAAAATGGCCAAGTGCTAAAATATTTTATGTATTAAATTAATTGGCCCAAAAATTCTAAAATTCTGATACGATTACGGTCGACTGATAATACATAACAATGTTAAAACTCACCGCTAGAACTCCAAAGAATTTCGACATTATGGTGCTTGGTAGTTGTAGTTATTGAGAAAGAACTATTTGTAACTGAATGAACGGTTAGTTAACTGTGGATGCTTTTGAGACTTACACCGTGGCTTTTTATAGGGAAAATTGTAACATACATTTTCGCATAATGACATTAATAAATCGCGATTAGAGTTAAATATTCATTCGGTGTTATTTAATGCTGTCAATATTTTAGTACATAATACTAAAAACCGATAAAAAGTATATAACTTTTTTGATAAATAGTATTTGTATCGCTTATCCAAAACTAAAAAAACAAAATTATAATAACTATACCAGAAAATACATTTTTCATTTGGAAAAATATTGACACCCACCTAATTTGTTTAAACCTAGTTTGTCTAAGCGAACACATGTTGATTTTCGGCAAAAATGTTTTAGTTCACTAAAAAAGAATTAAAAACACATTTTTTATCGTGTAAAAAAAAGTAAACTTCCAAATCAAAAATTGACAAAGTTATGTTGACGTTTTATAAGCAATTTGCTTACATAATTGTTAAATAACAGAGTGTTATCTGAACATTATAACTAAAAAAATTAAATCTTTTTTTAAAGCATTTATTATAAAAAAAATAAACCTATTATTCCAAAGGTTATAATACTAGTTTTAGTTAAAACTAGTTTTAAGGGGAAAAAAACGTTTGTAGTCATAAATCTTTATTCTTTTTTACAATGTGAACTGTTTAGTTCCTAATATTTAATTTGCCATTATATTAAAAAAAAAAATCACTTGAACACAAAAAATAATTACCTATTTTGGCCAGGCTTTTCTTAACTTTTATTAAAAATAGTCGAAATAAAACTGAATTTGTATGGAGTATTCTTCAGAAGAAATGACCATCAATAAACTTCGACAAACCAAGAATTTATCTTAAACCCTATGCCACACAATGGGTGGAAATGTTTCATTTATTTGGTTTTCTTTAGGTGAAGTTTTGGGGTTTAGAGTCTGAAAGTAGATCTAGAGTGAGGTAGTATTATACAATTTTCTCAAACTTTTTTTTTTTAAGAACACTTTCATGCAGCTGAATCCGATGCCGGTGGCCGACCACTTCATGGCCGTGGTCAGCGATCCGCCGGCTACGGTGGCCAAGTCGAAAACGCGGAACGCTTGCGAGAAATGCGGACAGCGTTTGCCGGACAAGACCGCGCTGTGGAGACACGTGCAACACGACCACGGTACCGACCCGGACTTGATGTGCCCGGAACACGGTTGTGGTAAGCTGTTCACCAGCGGCGCCCTGAGAAGGGGGCACATGGCCCACCACGCCATGTGCGGTGCCCGGCCGAACACGTGCGAGATGTGCGGCATGCTGTTGGCCAGCCGCAAGACGTTTTACAACCACGTGGTGACCGTCCACAAAGACTGCATCAGAGACCTTTGCGCCTTTTGTCTAAGATTTAGCGAAAGCGCCGCGGCCCTGAAAGCGCACGTGTGGCAAACGCACGGCAAGCTCATGTCGTCGGGCATAAGGTGCGATGTGTGCGGCAAAGCTTACTGCAACAGAACCATGATGCTCAAGCACAAGGCAATCCACGAGATGAAAAAATAAAACGATAAATAATAATTGAAAACCCTCGACCCACGCACCCCCCCCCCTCTTATCCCCCCTCATATTTTTGTACCCGGAATAATATTTAATTATGATTGTTTAATAAAACAATTATTATTTACAGTCCTCCCAACTTCTATTTTGCTCAGGTTGATATATTTGTAAATAGTTGTTGCCAAATATACATACATTAATAATATTCTTGGTTTATAAGTGTACAAATTTAAATTGTGTAATGATTGTAAATAAATAATTACATCTCAATTATAACGATTACGTATATTTATTCATAACTTCAAAGTTATTTGTTTGCTAAGCTTGTATTTCAAAAAATATTTAACGCCATATTTTATGGTTATGCGTCTAATTATTTGCTAGATACATTTTATGGAGTCTAAAGGAAATCATGTAACCAACAGTTCCTACTCATTGGTTCTGTATAAATAAAAATAAAAAATATATGGAATTTTCGCATACCAAACTTTTCATCCAAGTCACACGACAATCTTTAAATTTTAATTTTTTATTTAAGTCATTATACTGGTGAATTGTATTTAAATTCAATTTTGTTAATGGCTATCGTGTTAATCCACTTTATAAATATTATATTTTGACCAAGTATCGAAGTTTTAATTCTATTTGTATTATTTTTGGTATTTAATATTTTAAAAGCACAATGCACTGGTGTGATAAATGTAATACGTCTGTTAACCTCCTATAAATTGTGATAGAATACCTACTGGAAGCCTTAGATATAAAATATGTATACTTCTAGAGGATATGTGTATTTTATTAAATACATGTGAATGTTATTATATAACCTTCAAACGCTTTTTCTTTAAAAATGATTTTAAAAAATGCGCTTAGCACACCTCAACACAGTGGTCTATGGCATCAATATATTCTTTGAAAATTGGTTTTAAGACTATTGTTAAATAAAAGCAGGCCTGTAAATGTTTCTTAAAATTATAATTTTCAAGAAATAATCGATTGTTAAACTGAAATTGGAAATATTGACATTTTCGAGAAGTAAATTTGTTTGTGACACCCAAACAGAGGCGTCATATATTTCAGTTTTTAAAGGAAAGTGTCAAAAACCTGAAGAGTTAGCACTTGTGGTAGGCTGGGTAACTTAGGTTACAATGAATTGGCTATTAAAATTACTGGCAGACAACGTTCTTTGTCTAGACCAATCCTTTTTTTTTAAAACCAAGATTAATTTTTAATTTAAAAAATAATCATCAAGTACATGGCTTTTTATAGCCACCGCCAGTTATATTATTTTATAAAAAACACCTACGCAGTACCATTTACATTTAAACACAATAAATAATTTTATTAAAAAAATGTAGTTTAACTGACATGCTATACGATCAAAATACGTTTTCAGGAAGTAGATATTTAATGTTTAAAATAATATATATTTGATAATAGAATTAGCAGCATAGTAGTATATTTTACACAGTGGTCGGTAGGTATATTTTAACTAGTCAATTTTTTTTCACTAAAAAAAAAACGCAAACAAATTAAATGCTCGTGAACTTTATTTTAATAATTTTCGAAGATATGTATCAGGTTAAATAACACTTCCGAATTATTAAATATATTTTTTTAAAACGATATAGTGCTGTTTAACAAATATTGTGTTTTCGGAGTTTAATAATAAATATTGCTTAAAAACTATACAAACAAATCTTGGTAAATGGTGTTTGTCTATGGGGTCGAAGCGTCACATGTTGTAGGAAGCGAAGATTTACCATTCGCTTCTGTCTCTGCATCTATAATCTGTTGTCTAAAGTCCGAGTAATCATCTGGTTTAGTCTTAAACGCCGTGTCAATCGCGGTTAAGAATGTTTGTTTTAAGTTTTCGTCTTGTTGATTTGCATTCCATGCATCAAAACTTGGTTTCAATGATGCAATTTCTGCCAAATTTCCATTATTTTCACTTCCAATTACCGATTGAAAAGTCGAAAAATCAACATTTTTTAAGTCTTCATAAGTGTTACAAGTATTTGTTTGTAGTGGGGCTGCAACTTTTTCATCTGTTACTGGTGCAGGTGTTTCAGCAATCACATACTGAACAAGAATCACCACCTGAAACATACATACATGAAATAAAAATCAAATATTGGAAATTATGCCTGATTGTTGACTATTGTTCAGGGGCTCAGTACACCGGGATAAAGATATATTATGACAGTGGTAAACTAATAAATATAATCACGAACGTTAAACACTGTTAGACGTATAAAATGTATAATATATAAAAATAATAAATTATTAAAAGTTGTCACAAATAAGTAACAACTACATAACTGCTTTTGTATTTTTAATTGCAACCCTTGTATACAATGTACACTACTTATTACAGTAATTGTAAAAGTCAACATTAAACAGAAACGAAAAATAAAAAGTTATTAGTTTTTTGTTGTATGTCTTACTGAGTAAAAATAAAATAACATGTAAAAGAAAGGTTATAATTAATCATTTAATTAAAATAATAAACAACAAATAGTAATTTGAATTAAGTGAAAACAATTATTTTTATTGAAAAACTTTTTTCATATTATATATGTGTTTGATTGATAACCTAAGGTATAACTTTTATGGCGAGTTTTCTGTGATATAATTGATAAATTATAAAAAAATGGCCAAGTGCTAAAATATTTTATGTATTAAATTAATTGACCCAAAAATTCTAAAATTCTGATACGATTACGGTCGACTGATAATACATAACAATGTTAAAACTCACCGCTAGAACTCCAAAGAATTTCGACATTATGGTGCTTGGTAGTTGTAGTTATTGAGAAAGAACTATTTGTAACTGTATGAACGGTTAGTTAACTGTGGATGCTTTTAAGGCTTACACCGTGGCCTTTTATACGGAAAATCATATCATGAATTTGTCACATAATGACATTAATTAACCGCAATTACAGTTAAATAAACATTCGGAGTCATTAAATGCTGTCAAAATTTGTGTATACATTACTGAAAAACGAGAAAAAATATATAACTTTTTTTGATTAATAGTAGTTGTATTTGTTTTGTCGCTTTTCCTATACCAAAAAATTTCATTATTATAATTATGCAAGGAAATACATTTTTCATTTAAAAAAATATGGTCAGTTACATAATTTGTTCAAATGGATTTTTTACAATATATTATTACAATATTTATACTAATAGCTTTGACATGCTAGAAATTAAAAATATGTTATTTTATTATGATAGTATAACGATTATTCATAATACTAATGCAATAATATTGTAATTTGAACTATTTAGTGCATTTTTTTACAAGCATTTAAGAGTTTTTGCATCTTAGGTGATAGGTCTAAATGAACAGATGTCGATTTCTGGCAAAAATGTATTAGACCACTAAGAACAAATAAAAAACATCGTTTGTATCGTATAAAAAAAAAAATTACTTCCAAAACAAAAATTGACAAACGTTATATCGACGTTTTGTAAGCAAATTACTTACATGATTGTTAAATTGACAGAGCGTTATCTGAACATTCAAACTAAAAAAATTTAAGTTATTATTGCTTAATATATGTATGCCCGGTGGCACCAAACTTGTCGTTATCTATTGGTAAATAATTTACCACCGTAATTAACTAACCTATGTTAAACTTTATCTTTTGTTGAATTAACATGTGTTAAATTTACGAGTGTCGCTGAATTGTTGTTTTCTATTCAGGTTATTACCAGTTTACTGGTTATCAAATAAATGGTATCAGCAGTAGGAGTTAATATTATTATTATACAGGGTCTAATCAATGATAAACTGATGGTAAATCATCATTCATTTTTGCTATGTTTTAAAAAAAAACCAAAACTTTATTGATAATACAAATTTAACTATACGTACATTTTTATACAGCGATAAATGACCCTGTGGTTTAACTCGTGATAAAGAATTTTTTTAACATCAGATAAAATTTAAAACATGGCTTATGCAACAGAACTTATTTTAACTCCAGTTAAACGAGTTTATCTCCGTGTAAATATTTGCTACAACCCGGCATTACTTTAGTCGCATAAATAATAAAATCAAACTATGCAATTCAAATACCTTAGTCCTTAAAAAGATTTTAAAAAAAATTTTAAAAATAAAATAAATATAATGACAAAAAAAAAATGCATTTAGCACACCTGCAATGAGGCATTATCTGCATAAGATAATTATTTTGGCAGTACTCATAAATATAGTTGTGTTAAAAACATTGAACATAATATACCTCATCACAAAAAAAAACATTATTACAGTTGCTTAATCGTAGTCATGGAAATTGAATTATTAAACTAAATTGATTATTGGAAATCCTCATAAAAGTATCCCGGCTTAACTATCAAGTCTACGAAAAGCCTTTTTTTAATATTATCATTGATTTTAAAATTAATTAATGACATAATTAAATACGAAATGTAATCAACGGGAAATACGTTTTGTAACGTTAAGTATAAAATTAACAATTTAAAACTATTGTTAATATTTAGTCAAAGATCTATATTATGGTCCTATAAACATTTTTATTGTGGTCAAAATTCTTTTTAACGTGTTGCATTTCTAAACATTCATCAACATACTTTTTTTTTAGATAAATAAAATTGACCTTTATGGTTTTCGTATAGTAACCTTAATTTGATACACATAATTGTAACACTTTTAAAGTTTTTCATAATCCATTGCCCCCATTTGCTATATGGCCGGTTTATGATTTAGGTAGAACATTTAAGATATTATGGTTTTGATTCGTTTGTTAAGAAAAGTCGAAAAGACATATAAATATTTTTCGGGAACTTTTGAGATCATTATTGTTAGCTGTTATATAGTTGTTAAGCAGGCTATCGTTCTTAGTGACTGTGTACTCAAAAACTCTGATACAGTATAAATTTAGAATATTAATTAAAAAATAATCCAATGCGTATCGAAAAAATTTGAAAAAAAATTACCAATCAACCTTGGTTTCGAATTTTAGGTCCGTATTTTATAACATTTGTATAATACCTAATTTATCGATAGCAAACAAATGTGCAATATGCCTAATTAAAAAAGTGCTGTTTAAATATTAAACTATTCTGCCCTGAAAATGATCTTATTATCGTCATACATTTTGGGTTAATAAATTATTACTATTTAGTTTGTGGAGAACAGCAACGAAAATAAAAATGTCAACGTTTATTTTCATCCGAATTAAATTAATGGTTTTATTTAATTTGTGTGTAATTGGAAATAAATCGTTAGCAGACTAGTCAACACACTAAGGACGGAGTATTATGGGAACAAAGCTGTTACATGTCTGCAGGAATTATTATAACTACATTAACCTAATAGTTGATAGGTCGTGTATAGGTACCGTCGAGAGAGAAATGCAAAATATCATAAAAAATGTTTCGTATCGGTTGAAGTAAATATTTTGTCATTTAATTTTCTGTTACGATTTCTGGTGTGTTCACTGATCAATACAAACTATTTTATATGCATATTGTTGCCATTAGATTATTTAAGGTAAGTGCAATAGCAAATTTTTCCATGGAAGTACTAAAAACTTTTCACGTTTTATACAACGCTGATTTAAAATATTTTTGTTGAAGTTATTGGAAAATTTGATAATTGCACTTAACTCATATACGCTGCTCTTTATTAGACTATATGGACGATTTATGTAAGAAACCTAATACATCTTAAATTACAAATTTCCATAAAAAGATTAAATTTTTCAAAAAAACAAAAACAAAAACTATTTAGTATTTTACTTTTTAACAGGGTTCCGTTATTTATTTGTTCAGTTCAAAATTATGCTCATGAACGTATACTAGGAATAACGTTATAATTTTTTTTACCCCGAGAACGTTATACCGAATAATGTTTTACATTTATTTGCTCCAAGAATTTCATAATATATATTATATCGTTACCTGTACATATATTTGTTTCGAGAACGTCATTATGAAGATTGTTGTATAGTTATACGTTTGACCGAATACCTTATATTATATTTGTATATTCTAAATTTGCATACGAATAATTTTCATTTATTTATTTGTTATAAGAAGTATTTGATAAAAATTTAATTATTTATTCGTTTTTAGGTTAGCTGAATTCAAATTTGGTATGATACGTTACTTTACAGTAGTAAACGTTATTAAGGTATACAATTATAGTGCAAAATTCGTTTTAACATTCTCGGAGTAAAACAAATTATAACGTTATTCGGTATAACGTTCTTGGGGTAAAAAAATGTAAAACGTTATTCATTATAACGTTCACCAAACATATGTTATGTTCTGTGAAATTTATTTTGGTGAACGAAATAATTGAGTTTATAACGTTATATTTTGTTACGTTACGGAACCCTGCTTTCTTAATTAATCTTAATACTAATAAAAATGTTAATTATTAAATTAAAACAACGTTCTGTTTATTTAATGAAATGTTCATCTTAGAAAAATGCAAATTAAAATTTGACCTGATGTACCTAATGACCAAATCCTAATTATTAAAAAAAAATTTTTTTTTTAATACACTGATTTAAATCCCCTATAAAGCCAATTCGAAATTTAGTATTGTTATCTTAATTCGATATTTTAAAAATCAATAGATAAATCGCTTTTGTAGGCTTATTGAAATAATTAACTAAACAACATTTAAAATTACAAAATGTTTGATTTTTATTAATTTTTCCTTTTCTCATATATATGAATATATATATAACAATTATGAATAATGATGGATTGATAAGAGGAATGTGTATAAGAATACGAAATCTATTAACAAAACTCATTGACGTGTTTAAATGATCAAAAATAATATTGAATAACATTATTAACAAAGTTAAAAAAAATAAAATAATAATTATAATAAAGATAAACAACTTTTGTTCGCCTAAAATATAACTAAGTAATATTTATATAATATTATTATATAAGGCACATTTTAAATATATTTACAACATAATAAATACAATCTTTTTTACATTAATTTTCTACGCCTTCCGATTCGACCAAAACGGATGTTCCGTATTCCGTGTAATCCTTTGATACGTTTTGGGGATGTATAGAAGAAATTAAAAAAAAAAAATACAAAAATAGTAGTAATATTGAGCCTAACAGTAATCGATCTCCGGACAGATTTCAGCACATGGCGTGGGACTGTATTTTTTTTTGGCAGATTAAAAACTCTGTGCTCGTGTTTTCTTATCGGACGGTGTTGGTTACTGGCAACGGTGGAATAGCGGTGACCTTTGGTTTGATTAACATTTGTGCCTTCTTCAGTGTGTAATCCCATCCTCTCCAACGGAACCACACGATACCTAAAACATGTTTGTGATATGGGTAAAATTTAAAATAATTTTTTATCTTAAAATGAGATTATTTTATAATATTTAGCCCCTAATTAATAGTGCAAGACGGGCTAGGAAATCAGCCGAAACTACTCAAAACTACAATATATATATATTATATACTCGGACCCGCCAAATAGATTGTAGGAATATATAGTGTGAAAGAGAGAGACACACACTGAAATAGAATCGTTGAACGGTGGTCGTTCACGGCCGACTGTTAAGTTGCCTACCCGATCGCCGTACACGTACCTTGTCTGGCCGTCAAGTCTTGGGGATCGTTCAGGTACAATCCGTTCAGTCCTCTGCCGCAAGACTTCCACCACCATCCGCCCTTCAGCATGGACGCGCAGTTCAAACTAGACCTGTCGTTATCTCTACAACAGCACAAATAAGGTCGAACAATTAAAAAAAAAAAACCTCCAGCCCCGTCGATCATCATAATAGTTTTGCACAGATGATATTTTATTTAGGAGTCTTGCGAACCTGTTGTACGTGGAGAACGGACTGTTGTTGCTTCCGTACCACGGATCGTTCAACGAGTCTCCCGCGTTGCCTTCGTAACCGTCGATTTCCAGTTTATAGTATTCCGCCTCGGAGTAGATTTTAAAGTGCGAGTATTGAGCATATCTAAAAAAAACAAAATCGGAACACAAATTATAGTTTCAAAATAAAAACCCCCCCAATGCCGTCCATTACGCGATCCTAACATGATCAGCATAAAAAATGACACGATTAGGTGTCCAGCCGTACTAGCGGTTAGGACCAACAAAAATAATAAGCAGTATATCTAAACTTGAAAAAACTAAAATATATGGGTTATTTTACCGAATTTGTTACGTTTGTGTCTATGACAAATCATAGGTCATTATCATTATTTTTGGAATGTCTCAAATATTTTTTATTTAGAGTGTATTCGAATCAACAGAACGCGTCAATTGGGATCATTAATATTCTCTAATAACAAAAGTAAAATATCAATAAACATATACCTTTTTAAGGCCACTCCTGACATAGGGGAAGATCGCTTGACAAAAGAAATGTTTATTTTAATCTTAGCAATAGTCTGCTAACTGTATTGTACCTGTATTGTTCTCTGACAAGTTTTCAATTGTTAGAGAAATATTTTTTTAAGAAGTTGGCGACTTTGCTGTTGTATCCCCTCCCAAATGTCGCAAATGAAAAATGTCCCAAATGTTTTCATAGAAATCAAACCCCCAGGCGTCACTTCCCTCAATCTGAGATTTTATTGAGTCAATGCAAAACAAAAACGTTTCTATGACGACCTATTTTGGATTTTGACCTTTGTTGTCATAAAAAGAGGATGATTGTAAACAAAATGTGTGTGCAAACGGCTTCAGAGTAACTCACCTTCTGTTGCCTTCGAAATCTTCTAGTTCGATCCTCAGCATGTACTCGTCGTTGCTTGTCAACATGTAAATGTTCTCGTTACCCATCCAAAACTCTTTGGTCGGATCGCCGAACCCATTCTTGTAGTCCGTCCAGTCCCTGTTGAAATTTTCCCGTATGGGATCTCCGATGTCGTCTCTCCTCTGAATAACCTGTAAACGCCAACGTTTATTGTAATAACCCGGTATAACTAAAGGTATACCAAATGCTAAATAATACCACTAACCACCACCGGACTTCATCATTTGGAAGAAAGATCAAAATAACTCCACAGTACCGCTGCGGGTCAGGTGTAATAGGGGACTTGTTAAGAGGTGAGTTGAGAAATCAACGTTGTTCAGGTTTGGTGATAAACGGAGACGGATTTAAGAGATATCACATGTTGAGCGAGTGCGTGACATTCTAGTCAGTAAAAATGTCTACTAATCCGAACGAGAAAAGCTTTCTAGATACATCGAAGGATTCAAGAGAGTACAATTGTTATACTTAAGATTCGACGCCAAAGATCTTGGACAAAATAATAAGAAGCCAGACGGGAAAGACAAAAAGACTATGCCATTTTTTATGCATGACTCAAATTAGTCAAATAGTCATTTGTAGACTAGAAAAATCGTATGATGATGGGCGATAAAATGAAAAAGAGCATCAAATGCTTAAGTACAGTGGCATCATTTGGGGGAGGTGGGGGGGAAATTTGATATTTGGTCAATCAACGACGGTCTTGATGTCATTTAAAAAAAATGTGAAAGGCCATATTGTCTTAAAATGGTGTCTTTCCTACACTGAATTGGTTTAATCGTTAACTGTCATCTGTCGTCTTGGTAACCCGAAGCCTAAGGGTCACTTGCCCGATCGTTAGCCAAAATCTTCGTGTTTTTATTTAGATCGACAGTTACTAGATCCCGGAGTATTAGACAGGCGGATCAACTGTGATAATATTGTGGACCCACTCGGAGCTCGAAAATAGCCCGTGTATTGCGTTGGATGGCAAACGTGCCGTCGTTAACGACATAATATGGACTCGTTCGAAGGTCTTTTTATTTGTTTTAAATGACACTGTGTCACTGTGCCGGAGGAGGAGCGAAGGAGAATAAAAAACCGTCTATTGTTTTTTTTCGGAGATTAAGAATAATTAAAGAGCAATCAGCAGAAAAATATCAGAAACGGATCCGTAGAAGGAAAACGGCTGGACCGACAGCAAGGCAGTGTGTGTGTGTGAATAAATATACAATAATGGGCTGATATACATTTGTATTGTGCGTACTTATATACTTGTGTATACCATGCATTAGTTACGACTTTCACGCGAATAGGTGCTGCTGCTGCTACTGCTGACCATGAAGACCTTGAGAGTACACCCAGTGAGACAGTCGTGTGCGTTTTATCAACAAAAAAAGTCTCTTGTGTTCTTGTAGTACACTTACAATTCGCACACGTTCGGGTTACATCACTTCGGAAACTGCCGAGGTTGTCCGAAAAGTCATAATGAGAAAAATCTAGTAACCGTATATTATTATGCGTACAGTAAGGTGGTACTTGATCTTCTACCGCCACTACTACACACTACCAGTTACCTCTATTATTATTGTTATTATTATTATCACTGTACGCAATAACAATGAGATGCATGCTCGAACATTATCGTTATTACTATTATGGTTTTTCTTTATTTTTTTTAACTTTTACCGTCGGCCGTTTCAAGACCACCGCAAATCGTCGTACAATTACTATTGGAATTATTGTTATTATATTAGAATAAAAAAAACCATAATCATATTGTTGTCGTCAGCGACGCTATAGTGGCCCGATTTGGGTATTAACTGTAAACTATTTTAATTTTCAACTATTGTTTTCGAACGGAAAACACAATGTGTAATTGTGCAATAACTATACCGCAATTATCGATTTTGATTAAGTATGAAGGGAGAAAAAGGGATGTTTGCAACAGAAATAATATATTATATGACACTAAAAATATTTCTTTTTACTGACCGTCCATCCGCCATCGGCGATCTCTTGTTCGCAAAACACCTTCAGGTACCAATAAGCTGTGCCCCGGATTTGCAAGTAATACACTCCGGATTGCTTCATGCCAGCGTTCAACAGGTCCAAGCATGAAAATCCCTTAAAAAAAATAACAAAACGAGATTAGTTAACGTAAATCGGTTGACCGGAAAAAACTGTAAAATAAACACAGTCCTAATTACTGAACTAATACTTATACATTACAGTTAACATTTAAACTTGCAAAAAAGTGCCTACACTAAACAAGTGCCTCAATAAATAAGAGGTATGGCATCTTCTTAAATCTGAGCGCTGATCATGAAAAATATTCTAGAAAGTGTGTTGTTTTAAGACCTTTATTAATATATATATTTTTTTTACTAAAAATCTGTGCTAGTAGGTATTTTGGTATTACGATACAATTTTTAGAAGGTTTCAAATTATACAACTCTAATATTATATAAAAGAATATGACTATTGTATGCGAATCCTGAGGATATGAATAATAACAATATTATTACTATTCATTATGTATAGTGCAAGAATGAGTGAAATATTGTTATAATTTTTTTTTTATTCGATAAAAAGGAGAAACCTTAACCCATTAAACGAATAAAATGAAGAAAAAAAACAATATCACGTTTTCTTATAATTTTATTATTATGTGTGTACATTCCTAATAGGTACAAGAGTGAAATTAGGCCGATAATTAGGAAAATTTCAAGGACACACTTAGGAGCTGATCACAATGACGACCGAGCGGACTTATTATGCATAGAATTATTAGAACGGAAATATGACATACTAACTGTTTTACTGTCCGGCCAGCATAAACATCGGACGAGAGACAATAAAAAAACACATTTTTCAGTGTCTGGCTGTCAGATTACCATATTGTTAACTGGTCCATCGATCATGCGTGTGTCTGTCATAGGAAAATGATTACTAGAGATCAAGTACTTATCCAATTACTCGCGAGTCGAACATAAGCCACCCCTAGTTGTTGATAATAAATAGTTATTGTTTTAAACTCTCCGAGAGAAAATCTTTGGGAAAAAAATAACTTCTTTTTCCATTACAAACACGTGTTAAATAATAATTGTATGTGCTTTGTGTAGAAGAAGCGACCACGTCCGCTTATCTATATCTCATCCGTGGTATAGGTACATACATTTTTTTTTACCTTGAATATATTATAATATACCACATTGTCCGACGCGGTTATGTAATTTACTTGAAGGTTTGCTTATCGTCATACGTTTGCGAGTACGCCTATCGTCAAAAGTCTAATAACAAATAATGGAATACAATAAGACCTCTTCTAAAATAGAAACCCTTTCGCTCTCTTTCTTTTTTTTAATATCTAGATATTTACATTATATTTACAATATCCGTAAATATTAACAAAATAGTATAATAATAAAGAGTTTCGTTAAATGTCTTACCGAATCCAATTATTATAAGTAGGTAGGTTAACTAATTGTATTATTTAAAATTATGGGTGCGTTGTCAAAAAAATCATTACAAAAAAAGTCGTTTTTAATATTTTTGTAAACTTTTTTTCCGAGTACACATTTTTGTATAAAATGCAATATTAAATAACGATATTGTAGCCATTTATTTTTTTATAACTGATTTTTAGTCGTTGAATAGTTGGAATCAATTAAAATTCGAGAGTTGTCTCTAATATTTAAATTGGCAAATTTCAGTAGTGATAACACAATGCAATATTTGATAAATCATGGAATAACAATAATATGTATATTTTATAAATCATGGAAAAAACAAATACTGTTCTCAATATCCAATAGTGGACATTTTCATGAACAGCCGACTATTAATGGGCAATGCGCATTCCAGTCAATGTTTAGAGTTGTTTTCGCGATGCGCTTTTAAAACCACTACGGTAATAACCTTTGACAGATCTAAACAAGACTAAAATTGATCTCGGGACAACTTTTATCAACTATTTGGCTCTCGCCACTCGTGCACCTCAAACGAACCTATTGAATAGTTTTGATCTTTTTTTTTTTTATCAATATCAAGAAGTGTCTCTCGGCATTGCCCGGAAACGAATACCGGACAACAGCTGTGTACGGTTTTCGGTTTACATAAACGAATAACAGGCGCTCGATTTGGATTGGCAGACAATCATTTACCGATGATACCTAATAAGTCACGGTTTGAAAACTCCAACGCCACGAGAACCTATTGTTCATGTCCCCTTTTCGACACCCGTTTTGAAATCGTTTAACAATGTCGCGCCCGAACACTTGGAGTAATAACAATAATAATATGTGACCTGATAAAACGGTTTTTACTTTTTGTCGAACCAGATATTAAATAGATGCGGTATATAAAGCAAACTAAATACAAAAACCGAATCCTCGGCCTACGGCAAACGATACAATAATAATTATTTGAGTTAAAAGCTATCGAAAACGAAAAAACCGCACGTGATCATCTTAAAAAAAGTTCAGCTCAGGCGCGAAAAAGTATATTTTGTGTTATTACATTTTTTTTTTTTTTTATATAAATCTATACTAGTTTTTTAACCGCAAGTTTTCCAGCTAGTTAAACGCGCAAATTACAAGATTTCTAATATATGTTAAAACGATAAACCATTGCCGAGTCCTGCGACCTCTAACATATTATTGGCACCTCCAAGTATCACAACAATAATAATTTTACAATCGCCAGCCGTCGGAGGGAAATTATTATATAGTAATTATCATTACTAAATAGCCGTTTTTGTTGTCGGTGTATCAATATAAGCCTAAACGATATTATAAACGAACCGTTGACGGTTACCTTGAACGGAAGTGCATAGGTCAAGACGCGACTAATAATATGTAAGTATACAAGTTATAGCTACTACGCCATTGAGTACATACATAATATTTATGATGAATGAAATGACATATATTTTATTTTTTACATATTATTTGGCACGGGTCATTGCGCGTATTTCGTCAGAATGTTAATATCTGTTGTAGTCCTTCGTGTCGGTCGAGTATTGATCGTTTTTTTTTCACAATTTAATGTTCACTATTATTGAATACACAAACATCAGTTAAACGTTATTATTAAGCAAAACGAAAAGCGGGAATAGGAGGCGACAGCGGTTCTGTTTTGTCTAATGGTATGCATTTTTTTATTATTAAAAATTAATAATATTACTTTATAACGCTTTACTGGAAATCGGTTCAAAGCGATCAAACCACAAGTGCTCTCCTTTTAGTTCATAATTTGTTTTGTAGGCAACCTAAAGCTGAAGGCTATTTTGTAGTACAGTAAAGAGTTTCTACTGAAAGTCAGTTGCAAAACAAAATATTCTAATAAAACCGATAAAAATAATTCAAACAAATTCTAATAGTTCTAACAAAGCCATAGTATAGCTGTTTATTTTTATTTATTTGCAATACAAATGAAATTCCGGCTTATATACTTTTTTCATTCAATTGTAATCACGTCTACCAAAAATAACAAAATGTATGCACCTATTTAGTCTGTGAAAATTGTAAACGCATAAAAACACACAATAGGACTCGTGTGGAAGAACTGAAAATAACCTGCTTAGGAAGTCGACAGAGTAACCCATACATGACGGATAATTAAAATCTCAGTTCATTGCAGTATGACGGGCGAGGAAAATACCTAATGTGTTAAGAACAACCGAAAACAAAAAAAATACCAATTCGATTACAAAACGTTAAAAAATATTATAAAGTTGATTTTCGACACCGAACTTACATAACTAATAATAATTCCTGTGCACACTGTAAACGTATGTAAACAAAAATAAAACAAAAACGAGATATCTATTGTACAAAGCCGTCGACGGCCGAGGGTTGTTCGGAGTGATGTAAAACCGTAGTTCACGTTTGGCCGGTCGTGTGTTTTGAATAAAAACCATGGACCGAAAATCCAAATTGAAATCTCAAGGTGAAAAATAATATAAGTCATGAAAAAAAGTAATAATAAACGGTTCGGGTCGTGTCAAACACACGAGTACATGACCGCTTTCTCAATTCACGTGAAATCTTAAATTAAGTCATGTGCTCACCACCAATCGTCTATATAATATGTGTAATACAATATACATATATGTATCGAAACACGAGTCTCTCTAAGGGCATTACCCAAGTTTTCCAAACCGGGATTTCGCAACTCAAACAGACAATTGAAATTAATAAAAATAAAACTGAGAGCCAATACTGTGTGTGTGTGTGTGTCTTGTATTATTACCATAGACCATAATATAGGTTTCGAAACAATAGCAACCGATTGTGCGGTACACATTTTCGGCGCAGACGTCGCCCTCACGCCACGATAGCTGTTAACGTACACGGTAATTGAATGTCATTATATTCACCTATATGTGGATCGATTCAAACACCACCATATTACTATGATATATGAGCGCCGAGACTTCTTGTGTTCATTTCCATCGTCACCGCGCTGCTGCATTGTGTTTACCAATAAAATGGTAAGTGGTAACAATGTAAACGAACACACGGTATAGTGTTACAACGGTCCAATGTATACAAGTGCTACGTAAGGTAACGTTGGAAATTATCGGTTAGGTTAGGTCTTAACAAACATTCAAATAAAAACTTGTAACAAAATTAAATAATTGACAGCTAATAAATGAATTCACCCCCCCCCCCCACACCAAACTACGTACCTCATTCTTCGCTATTTTTTTTTATAAAATTGGCTCCTCTTTTATGTATGCCACCTACCTTTGGCAAATTATCCCGTTTATCACAATCAACTTAAAACGGTCCCGCCAGAAGGCGTTTGTTTTGCTCCAAGTTCAAAATAATATATTATACCTAGGTGTTACCGGATTATCAAAACCCTATAAATTAATTTTACTACAGCGTTTTTCTCTGAAAATATTTTAATTACTATACATAATATGCCTGGTTAGCTGGTACCCATAAAAATTAAACTTAAGTTTGCAAAAACTCCTGGGGACCATTTTACAAAAAACGTTAAATGTCAAAAGATAAAAGACGTGCATCAAGGAAAACCATTTAAAGTGTACTTGAATAAATATTTATTTAAAAATCATTAATTATTTTCATTTGAAAGTTATAGGTGCTAAGATTTAACTATATTGTTTTCGCATTCCAATTTTGTTACAATAGAAATTTTGAATTTCAGTGGTCAATATTTAAAATTTGAAAAAAAAATTCTACGACTGTCACCGAAAGCGTATATCGTTCTCTTGTATTGACTAATTTACAAACATTTGATTGAAAATAATAATTAATATTTATGTTTAAGACTGACAAGAGTGAAAGTGATTTATTATAAAAAAAACTCAAGACTGCCATATTATTAATATATTTTGTTACTTTGGAACGTTTTTTTTTTACCTAGATAAGACATGGCGTGACACAATAATATGCATACCTACTACAAATACACAATTCGATGTGATCCAATTAGAGTGGCTAAATCGCGGTGACATAATGTGGAAAAAAAATGTATAATATATTATAAAATGCAAATAATATATGAAAATTACTGTTGGTTTGGCAACAGCTCCTACATTATTTTTTTTATTTCCAAAAAAAGTTTTTGTCGGTGTCGGATTTTCGTAATGCGTTATGTGTGCGCGCATTGTTGTCGCAAAACTGTACTTTTCGGCATATTAATAATCCATAGAAAATAATATTATTTTGCACGCGCCCATTATGTATACATATGTGTGTATTTTATAGTTAAAAAATTAAACAGAAGCGTTTATTATTGTAAAAAAACGATTACTGTCATTGGGCGGTTTTGTAAAATGCATTATAACTTTTATACAGGCACGTCGGTATATAAAGCCGAATAATAGTACAATATAATTAAATGTTTATAAAAATAAGCGGACAGCTTCAATCAGACCTCGGCAGTATAACAACTCATAATTTAAAAGCACGTTAAAAATCGAAAAGAAAATATATATATATATATTTTATGCAATAAAGTAATTATTAAACGACGGTTATTGCGCTATAATTGCTCTATGCAAACAATTTATGCAACCGACCAATTAATTTTTAATTGTCTATCTCGGCTGTCGTTAAGGAAGGATTAAACGTTTTGCATAAGCCATTTGTTTAGCATCCCCTTGACCAAATGCGGTTTGGTTGAAACTTTTTAAACATGTTTTGTGCAAACAGTTTTTTATTATATCATGTTATTTAAATGTGTAGGGATTATGTGAGGGGGGACCGGGGAGGGATATTTTATAATAAAAAGTATAAAATTATTTTACATAATTGTACCAATTTTGTTACCAATTTTATTTACAACTACCCCCACTTAACGCTACAAATTTAATCGTTTAGGTAAAACTGTACGTGCTTATTATGTGATACAGTTGTACACCATAACATTATAATGATATTTTGGGAAAGTTGCATAATTATTATTGCAATATTATTTAGATTTTTATACTCACATAAAGAACATTTTAAACTGACTAAATTAATAATATTATCATTGACCGGCTAATTGAACGAACGCAAATCAACATCGGATAACGCAGTCATTATTTTAACTCATGCAGATCGCACACGATATAATATATTATGCATTCCTCGTTATTGACTCTGCAGTGCAACTTAAAAATCGTGATTTACGGTACTGTTAGGCCGGGCGCCCACCAAAGTAACGTGGCATTATTAGATTTAATTAATACTTGTGCGATAACTACCTATGATACACGAGTCGTTTTTATAATAGACCGTATCGGGTAATATGATATAATCGATTTGAAATCACCCAAAAAACTTATCCAGCACATTTATTTGGGATAGTACGAACACGTTATTTTCAAACAAGAATAATTAAAAAAACACCGTTACGTAGCAATGAACTGCAAGCCGTCAGATTTAAATTGGCTCATTTTGCGTTAATACACTTTTTATATCACTTCTACTTGGACGACCATCGTTATTTTTTTATGGGACCTCACTTTCGGGTGTCTAAATAAACAAGTTATTTTTTAATTCTAAACATTTTATTTCCATTATATAAATGATAGTTGAAGCTAAAATGATCGCTTCTATCTATAAGACACATTTCAATAATACTACTCATTTAGAGCCTTTAGTATGCCTTCTATATGCTTTAAGATTGTTTTTTTTTATGCAATACCAAAATACTACTCTTATTTTATTAGAAGGATTGACTATTTATATAGATTAGGTTAGGTCAGACTTATAATATGTTTGGAGACATGTAATTTATATCTATGATAATCAAAAAAAAATATGTATTATTTTTCAAAATTTTACTCACTTTGACTTCTCTGTTGAACTGGTCGGTCAAGAAACTGATGTTGGCCGGCGGCGGTTTGTTCTTGACGCTTGGGAATACCACTCCTCGGTTTTTGGGCGCACTCCTGGACGTCTGCACGTTTTGTTGTAGATCCGGAGGAGCGCCAGACGACGGGCCAGGGCCCACGCTGGCCGGCGTGGTGAACGTCACGGTGGCGGCTGACAGCGGGGTGGACTCGGACAATTGCTGTTCGTCGTACCGGCCATACTCGTCAATGGTCGGATCCAGGCGGAGCAGTTCCGGTGATACTGGCCGCTGGGCCAACGTGACCACGTCGTCCTCTTGCTTCTTGAGCCTGCGCTCGACCACATCCAAGTTGGCGATGATCTTGTTGGTGTTCATGCGCAGGTCATCGTGTATGTCACTGATGGCCCGTTCCTGACGCTGCGTCTGTGTCAGCAGCTCGTTCGACTTGGGCACCAGGTCGTCCACCGAGCTCTTCGTGCCCACCACCACATTCCACACCTCGTCCATTTTTTCGCTGACGCTCAATATGGGATGCATCTGCCTGACCAGCCGGTCGATCTTGTTGGTGCGCTCGGGGGGCGCCGGCGTAGTCGTAGTGGTCCTGTTGCCGGCGGCCGTACGCACGTTGTCCTGCTCAACGATGGCGCCGTGCACATCCGTCACCATGGTGATGATCTTGCCTATGCCGTCGGACACCACGTTGATGTGGAACTGTAGCTTGCGGTCGATGTTGGCCGTGCTGGCGCGGATGGCGTCCAGCTCGGCGTTGAGCAGCTTGGACACGTCCATCTGGTGAACGTTTACCGGTTTCTTCTCGCTGGCCTCCGCGTTGATGTCGTCGGCCGGCCCCAGGAAATTGTTATCGAGCTGACTCTTGAGGCCTACCAGCTTTGTGTCGATGTCGCCCACTTTGCGGTCCAGAGCCGTCAACCGGGTCTCCAGGTGATGGCCAAGCGCGCCCGGTTCCTTTTGGAACAATTTGGTGTCCAAATTTCTCAGCTTGCCGATCACCGCCTCCGTCTTGTCGATGTTGTTGGTCACCCGCGAATCGAGCGCCTCCACTCGACGCATCAGGTGCTCGACCGCTTTGTCCAGGTTCTCTATTCGCTGCAGTTTCGTCTCCAACGTGGAGACGATCACCTCGAACACGTTGAACAAGTACTGTTCCCTGGAGAAAAAAACAACAAAAACCATTAAAAACAATAAACCAGATACCAAGTAGATGCAAAACATAACACATATAGAATACATTGTTGCACACCCCCTTGGTGGTCGTAGGTTAACATTTACACCTTAATCAGAGACCCTAAGATTTGTCTGATGTATACTCTTTGCCAATCTTAGAATACAAAAATAACACCTTTAAAACTACAGCCGATAACATTTCAATCGAGAAAAGGCAAGCCAAAATTCCATAATGTAAGTTAATCTTTATGCAGTATAATGTAGTACGGTTTGTGCGGCAATTGACATTGCCTACATACAATACACAAACTATATAAAATATTAAATATGTATAAATAAATAGGTTCTAAATAATCTTGGCTAACCGTATTGAAATGACATTGTAAACGTTTTCTATTGATGTTTGACGATACAAAATATGATAGTATTGGAGAGCAACTCCTTGAAATGTGGATTCATGCGTATAAGTAGCCTAAAGGCATGATTGCGCAGCGGATGCATTGTGTTATCATAAAAAAAAAAAAATGTTCTTACATCATATTATTATACACACTGTGTGCGAAAGGATAGCTCCAATTAAGGGCCCGGCCGTGTGCGTGCAAATAGGAAAAGACCGTTCGGATGATACGGGTGTTACTGGAACTGGCAGAACAGAACGTTTGAATACTGCAATTTAATTGGATATTATTGGGGTAAAACGATACAAGACACGTGGCATAATATATTATTTTATTCAGTTCACCTACCAAGTGTCATTAAGTGTATCTGTATATAGACAAAGTCCATTAGTATCGCCTGGGACACACGATATACTACCGGTATTAACGTGTACAACTTACTGATTATAAAAACTCAGCACAAACTGTGACAAGTACCGACGGCTGATGACGTTTCAGTTTTTCAATAAGAAGTCGAACAGACGGGGTTGAAAGTTTTGTCCTTCAACAGGCCTTTGCTCAATATTTTTTTATGATATTACGTTCTATTAAGCGTAGGCCTAGAACCGTGCCGTCGTTATAATATGTCTGCAAATATAGGTGCTCTAGCCAAAGGGGATCTTCCCACCTGTGTGTTAAAGAAACGCGAATATCTTTTGTATCTATGAATGGTAGATCTATATGTTATGTACGTTTAGGTGAAACTGTAACGCGGGTCTCGGCAGTAATAATAATTATGAATGGCCGTACAATGTCGGATTAGTAAACCCGTTTATTTTTTTATATAATTCGCCACAACTAGTGACACAAGGCGCGCGCTACGGTTAGATAAGAGGACAACGTAAATAAATAGTGCCCTCGTGCACTTTGTTCAATGACCCGCGCGCCGTGCTGTCTGCTGTGATAAAATGAAAGCAGTATAATATATTAAAATAAATACATATCTATATAATCGTCTTCCATCTGCATAACATTATAGTATAGCCGATAGGTGCGGTTTTCTTTGATAAATCCAAATGGTCTTGTTATAGTCACCGCGGGTGATATTAAACACGATAATATGTTATTAAATTTAAAAGTAACGTCAATTCCTCGGGCATTTGACAATTTTATTTTTCATAGCCAAAGGACGCTAAGGAAAAGGCAACGATGCATTCACAATCTAAGTAAAACTTTATATTGTTTACGCATAGCCAGTCTCACTATTCTCAGATCTCAAATCAATCACATATTATTAACCGTGTTGACCTCTCGCACGTTTAATAATATTTTACAATATGTTTTATTTTAAAACTGGTCGTAGGTATATAAATAATGGTTAGCTTGATAAGTTAATTGTAGGTTTGTGGCTTTGAATGATTGTGAATGTTTGAATGATGGTTAAAAACAAAATAATAACGAGTAATGTTTAATCGCTGAAACGCAGTTCGTTATCAATTATAGGTTGTGTGTGTGTGTGTGTGTATATAATATTATGTGCAATCCAATGATAATAATATTTGGGATGTCGTCCGTGTGTAATGTCAACACACCAAACTTTTAGTTATTTGAAAAAAAATCACCAATATACATTAATAGGTACACTTGAAAATTTGATCTAATTGATGACTGTCTTGTCGATTTGGGACAGCAAGTATTTTAATGGCAAATCAAAATAATACAACCGCACTTATATTAGTTGTTTTAGCATAAATGGAAGGCAATCAAATTTTATTTCTGGAGATAACGACGGTGTGCCCGCCGATAATCTGGTTATTATTTTTTCATATTCCATCACAGCCATGGTTGCTACCTATGACCTCCTCCGTTTCTTAATATTATGCTCCACTCGCACTAGACCCGACCTCACTGTATTCGTTTTTTTAATGATATTTGATCTATATTTATGAACGAATTTGTCGTCCTAAACTGTCGTGGTACATAATACTTTGTCGTGGGCGATTTTCTACTTTTTTTTTTAGTGTCCATGCAATAAATATCGGAAATTCGAAACTCCCAACTAACGAATTTTTATCGGTTTCACGCGGAATGACCCATATTATATACTTTTTATTCTAAGCCGCCGCGGATGGCATAACAGCAAAACTGGTCGGTCGGCTAATCGCCCCGAGCATAAAGCTGCGGTGTCCGTGTAACTCGCGTTTGAAATTATTATAATATTCAGTAAGTATGTGTGTGTGTGTATGCGCTGCTGCGGATGATGAGGTCAGATAAGACGGCTTAGGCCGCACACGCGATAATTCACCGGCACAACAACCGGCCGAACAAAAGATAAGGGGAAAACATGTACATACGTGTACACAGAACGAGTGAGCTTGTTCGTTAAAAAAAAAAAATAAATAAATAATGTTTTTAAATATTAATAAATAAAATAAAATCCGATCGGCGACTCCGCCCGAACTAGTCCTGTTACGCTGGCGCCGCGTGCAAAATAACTCAATGTGTATACAAACGTGTAATGTTTAAGCATAATAATCCGCGTTATATACTTACAACATAATATCGGTTTTTTATTCAAAGGTAATAACCTTAATTTACCTATTGCCGGATCATGTCTTGTTTAATCCGACGCGTACAGGATGACTCATGGACATACGGTTTATCTAAAAAAATTAATTGCAATTTGTTTTTCTTTTTGAAAACAATTTTGTTCATGTTATTTTAGCATACATAATAAAATTATTAATTATTTGATTATTTTTTTAGTATTTTCCACAGCTCTGTCAACGTTTTAAACTTAAACGGTAACTTACATAGGTACATATTTAATGAACATTTTTTCGATAACCACAGTTTTGGATGATTACTTTTAAAGTTTAGAAAAGCTACAAAATTGCGATTGTTTTAAGATAAAAATAGTGTGTTATCCTTTAACGAATCGCCATGTACACCGACGTCGCGTCCGACCGTGAGATAAAACAGTATATTTTTTTTCATAGTCCAAAATATACAATATGTACTTATACTGGCCGTAATGATTTGGCAAATTAATAATCTGAGAAAAATCAAATGAAATGAATTGATCCGGCACCTTGATCCGGTTCACACGTAGGTACAACCGCTTAAACGATGGTTTTTTTTTTTTTTTACTCTTTTTGTCTATCACAATATCATTGTGTTGTACACGTTCGCTGGTACGTAATGCACGTAAGGTATACACAATGCTAGTACGTGTCCGAGTGCTAAACAACAACACCGAAAAACATTAAATTATACAACAATTATTGTGATATTTGTATCCGATCACGCGTACGGGTTTAAGGTTAACTTGCGCAAAATGTCACTACGTGTACATCTCGCTAAGGGATAGGTTAGGTTAACATTTGACATTGGGTTGAGTTCTTGATTTGTAATATTCGAAATTGTGTTTTTATCACAAACAAACCTAATTTGAACGCGTCAACGAGAACCAAAAGTTAAGGAAGGGGGGGGGGGGGTGAGGACTTCGAATATAGTTATAATTAATGTAATAAATGTACAAAACGCATAATGTTAATAATATCGTTTATATCGATTATTTTTTATACATTATAAATAAATTATGAATATTGAATTGCTTTGTACAAACATATTATATATAAGACGGCGTTTATTATTCCTATTAAACTAAGGAATTATAAAAACATTTCAATTTAAAAAAAAAGATTCTCAAAGCTAAGATACGAGTATAACACTTGAAAATGTTGTATATTAATACTTCGCGGTACAATTTTTTTTTCAAATAAGCTATCAGTAAGTTGTAATGGGCTGTAACTTGATAAATACAGCTTTTATCGTGAAATATAAAGAGAGTAACTTTGCAGTGACGAATTTCAGCATGGAAAATCATTTTATAAACTGGAAAATTTTAATTAATTTTCAAAATTATTTTTTTTTTTTTTACAGTCTAATATATTGTATTTAGTATAACATCATTAATTTTAAATGTGCGATACACACCGGGAGGATTGCTTAAATAATAATAATAATAATATATTATATTTGTTCAATAAACACAAACAAGCTGAGTGCGCACCAGTATAATATCCACAAACGAGTGATTCAGATCGAGTTAAAAGCCGATGTGTACTTAAACCGTATAGTGTGTATCGCGAAGGTTACGTAGAACGGATTGATATCGAGCCCTACGTTAAAACAAACCGAATAAATCATTGGAACGAAATTTATAACACAAATTTTAACGTTTCAGGTTTTAATTGGTTGGAAATTTATGTAACCGTATAGTTTATGGCGTGTGCTCTGATTCGGTTTATCGATAAACGCAAAAAACCTGATGGAGAATTTCACCAACGCTTTTTACATAATTTTGCAAAATAAAAAAAAAACTACATGCGTATTATAACTTACAACATTTAGGAAAACACTGCGGCTTGTTGATTATAATATATCTAACATCAAATAAGCACCATTTTAACGGTGAATAATTATAATCATTGTTATCGTCCAAACCAACAAAATAGTTAAAAGTTTTATTTGAAAAAAATCGACAGAGCTCGGTATAATAATAATTAACCAAGATGATAATTTGGAAAACCAATATGTACCT